TCATATTCCTCTTCTGATGAATGGAGCGCGAGCCTCTTGTTCCTTATTGTTAATCTCTTCCCTCGCCCCAGAGGACTGTCGGTACTGTTAACTTCTTTCCCTTCCAGCGCTCTATCAAGAGGTGTTTTTAGCTCAGTTTTGCTGTCTGTATTTACGGAAAGAGAGAGAATGAATAGATTTGATTATGGACCATCAGATTCCACCATTGAAACACCCTTTACCATCAGATTCCACCGTTGAAACACCATTTACCATCAGATCCCACCATTGAAACACCTTTCACCATACAGACTCCACCATTGAAACACCATTCACCATACAGACTCCACCATTGAAACACCATTCACCATACAAACTCTACCATTGAAACACCATTCACCATCAGATCCCGCCATTGAAGCAACATTCACTATACAGACTCTACCATTGAAACACCATTCACCATCAGACACCACCATTGAAACACCATTCACCATACAGACTCCACCATTCAAGTACCATTAGATTTTTTTGTAAGGGTATAGTGTCACCCAAGAGGAAATAAATGACCAGAACTGCCAGGAATTATCTGTAACAGAAAGCAACTATTCTGGCCTTTGATTTCACTTTAACAACTCTTTAAAAAAAAGAAGGAATTCATGACAGGTTGTTGCCTATAAAGTGTTTGACCTTTGGTCAAGGAAAGTAACAACTAATTATGAACCTACTTCCTAGCCCTCTTCTGTGGGATGGCCACCTCCTCCTCCTCACTTTCGCTCGGATTTGAGGTAAATAACAGCGGATCACATCTAATGTTGGCTTTCGCCCATGAGTCTGAAATGTTACAAAGGTTGATAAAACTTCAAACTTTCTTTAAAGGTTTCATTGTTTATATCACCCAGGTCACAAAACCCCACCAACCTTTCACTTGCACTGAAAACTAATCCAGATTTGATTTTCATCTCATCCATCAACACACAAACATTTCTCTTGAAGTTTGGTTGATTATCCAAGTCTTGCTCTTTGATAATGTGTGCTAGGAGAGATGTGTCTGTGAAGTGTGTATAGTTTCTTAATGTGTTTTGATGTGGGAGGTTCATGATTCCGGAATCCTGGAGGAGATTATAAGCAGAAGAGGACTTGGAGTTAAGAGTGATGCACATTCGAAGAAGAGAAGGAATTTTGTTGTTGTTGCTCCCACAAAATTCTGGGGGAAGTCATCTGGGAGGGATTAAAACCTGTGTTGTTGAATTGTTGTTCATCAGGTCAGAAAAATTGTTTGACCGGTCACGAGGAAGTTCCTCTGCCTCCCTTTTGACTGAAGAGACACCTCCAAGGTGTGCACTCTTCTTGTCATATTTCTTATTATTATAATTCTCTTATTTATTTGGAACTACTGGTATGTGTTTTTCCAAGCGACTGATTGTTAGCGACAGTATGGCTTAGATTGTGCGGCGCTGGCACTCTTCTTCTGCGTGGAGGAGAGCAGCAGAAGACTGGGATGATTGGGGTGGGAATACCCATGTTCAGGAATGTTAGATGATTTTGATTGGCCGCCCAGCATGAAGCCTCGACCCTCCTCTGCCCATATGGCTTCTTCGTCTCGCAGTTGCAGTCGGTTGCACACCAATCTTACTCCCACTTAAGCAAACACGCTTCTTGCCTCTCTTCTGAAGAGCCCTTGCTGCCCCAGCATACTTCCCAAATGAATACATGGCAGACACAAGATGGGTGTTGGTCTTTATTCTGATGTAGCCTTCTACCATTGCAGCAATTGCTGGGTTGAATATATACATGGCAAAATAAAAATTAATTGTCATTGTCATAGCAACCCCAATATGTAGGCCTATACATGTAACAAGTTTGGAGAGGTTCCGGCAAACCATTCCCAAGATATTCCCAAGATATTGCAAGAACAAAACGGGACAGATGGACAACCCCAAAACTCAATCTTCAGAAGACTGGAGAATTTGTGCGGGGCTGCATGGGGAGCCTAGGGGAGGAGGGAGGCCCATCCTCGGTCTTTTTAAGACTAATGCCACCAGCCATGTTGTGCAGGAGGCAAAAAATATGACTACCTTCTCTTCCACACTGCTCGAGAAAAACATAATGAAGTGCATGGTAGTCTCCTCTTCTTTAGTCCTTCTATTACTTCCAGGAAGGGAGTATTCAGGGTGGAAAAGGTCGAACACCTCATTAGCATCCAACTTTTTCGGTTGGACACCGAAAAGGCTACGGAAGCAGTCTAGAAAACCACAAACAGAACGAAACAGTTAACAAATTTAATTATAATTATTTGTAGTACAAGAGAAATATGTTTCAGTTTATCATATCATAACATTGCTTTAATCATTTACTTTAATGCTATTTTAATTTTCCTTGCTACAAATTAATGAACATTGCTTTTTTCACATCTCTGATCTTTAGTAATCGTATGCAAATCCTACTTAATTTATAATTGGAACAGGGATTGAGGCCTTTGCCTCCATCTATAATCCTCCGGTGCCAAGTTTATATACTAATGCCATATTGACATTTTATGAATTTCAATTTATTTCATTCGTCATATAAAAACATACATAATTATAACATTGATATTTACATTGATAAGTGAAGAACATACAAATAACAAAATGAAAGATGAACATAGAATACAAATATATATACGAATGAGGAACCAGCAATTTGAAATTGAAATTGAATTGAATTGGTTAGATGATTGCAGTGTGGGAGATGATGAATAGCGATGTACCTGTCTTGCTCTTTCTTTATGTTTGCCTGTAGGAGAATATAACAAATCATTCAATTCAAAACCATATCATCTTGCATTCATATGCAAATATAGACTTTGTCAATAGGGAACCTCTTGCCATGGGAAGCAACACTTTAAAATTCACATAAAAAAAATCGCAAGACAAGGTACAGGAAATACAATGGTAATTGAGTGTGACAAGGTACTGTGGAGATAAACAAGTTTATAGAATATTGATATAAATAAGTGTATAGACTATCAAGACACAAATGGCAGTATTGGCTGTGAAGAAGGTTGGAATACCTGTTAAACAATGAAAGAATTTGTTGGAAGATAATGACAAAACTGGTTGGAAAATGTTGGGAGAACTGGTTGGAAGATGTTGGGAGAACTGGTTGGAAGATGTTGGGAGAACTGGTGGGAAGATGTTGGGAGAACTGGTGGGAAGATGTTGGGAGAACTGGTTGGAAGATGTTGGGAGAACTGGTTGGAAGATGTTGGGAGAACTGGTTGGAAGATGTTTGGAGAACTGGTTGGAAGATGTTGGGAGAACTGGTTGGAAGATGTTGGGAGAACTGGTGGGAAGATGTTGGCAGAACTGGTTGGAAGATGTTGGCAGAACTGGTTGGAAGATGTTGGGAGAACTGGTGGGAAGATGTTGAAAGAACTGGTTGGAAGATGTTGGGAGAACTGGTTGGAAGATGTTGGGAGAACTGGTGGGAAGATGTTGGGAGAACTAGTTGGAAGATGTTGGGAGAACTGGTTGGAAGATGTTGGGAGAACTGATTGGAAGATGTTTGGAAAACTGGTGTGAAGATGTTGGCAGAACTGGTTGGAAGATGTTTGGAGAACTGGTTGGAAGATGTTTGGAGAACTGGTTGGAAGATGTTGGCAGAACTGGTTGGAAGATGGCAAAACTTGTAGAGATGATGACGATATAGGGGAGATGGTTGAGAGGCTGGTGTGAGAGAGATGATGAATAGCGATGTACCTGTCTTGCTCTTTCTTTATGTTTGCCTGTAGGAGAATATAACAAATCATTCAATTCAAAACCATATCATCTTGCATTCATATGCAAATGAATGTATATAAGGTGGCACAACCGACCTATGCTCCCATTTGAAACATAAGTGGCATAGTACACAAATTGTGTCCACCTTTCACATTTTCAATCCAACAGTCACTTAAGCCTTTAAACAAAATATATGTGCATCAGCATGTCAGAACATTTTGGAATTGTGCCTCTCTTGAATCTTAGATAAGAAACTGTTCTACCAATAGAGTTTTTGTCCTACATTGACTTTAAGAACTGGTTGGAAGATGGCAAAACTTGTAGAGATGATGATGGTATAGGGGAGATGGTTGAGAGACGGGTGTTGTTAGATGATTGCAGTGTGGGAGATATAGTCCTTGTCTTGCTCTTTATGTTTGCCTGTAGGAGAATATAACAAATCATTCAATTCAAAACCATATCATCTTGCATTCATATGCAAATGAATGTATAAGGTGGCACAACCAGCCTGTGCTCCCATTTGAAACCTAATTGGCATAGTACACATACCCATCAATATCATATATGGTTATCTATCTTCTTCTTTTTTTTGGAGGGGGGGGGGTGTTTTTGTAATAGTACATGATATATTTTCAGATTCTTTCTGCTGCATGGTAATGCATGTGAAGTATTAAATTGTACAAGTATGGCAATTCTATGTTACAAAAGCAAGGAACATTTTTAGTTCAAATATTCCTTTCTTTTCTATTATAGAATAATATTGAATATTATTACCCGTATCAGACATCTGAGCTGGTCATTTACAAAACCGTATTGCCCTAGTTTTCACTAGCAGTGGGAACGGAGGGGTATATTCTTTGTATTTTCCTTGGTCTCCCTGCGCGTATTGACTTTGCGTGTAGAGACGAGTGAAAATATACCTTGGTATTTTCCACGGTCTCCGCGCATCGTTGTCTCCGCGCCGTATTTTGTCATTTTCATTGCGCATCTATTATGCGTACGAGAACCTGCGCACTTTGCGCGCACTCTATTGTGACGTAATAATCACACCAAATGCACACTGTTTGCAGTGTATCGAAAATTTTGTCAAGCACTGGTGCTGGTTTGACAAAGTTTGTTCAGTTCTTGAGATTGTCATGGTGGATTTCTGTATTTGCTCTAGATGTCTGATTTGGATAACAATAAAAATATTGACTGGCTTTACTTTCGGGGGATATCAGAAATAATGACCGCGCTAAGACCATATTGCCCTCGTCTTTCGACTCGGGGCAATATGATCTGAGCTTGGTCAATATATCTGATATACCCCTCAAGGCCAGTCAATATTATATAAATATTGTGTACTTGTGGTGCTGTCGTCCCGGCTTTATTTCGTGTAAGGATATTGCTTCACTTAATGGCTGCTGGGACAACAGCACCACTGCGCCTAGAAACAATGTATTAGGCGCGTTATAAATGTGATCTATTATTATTTATTATTATGGAATGATGTGCTGCCTACTTGTACAAATTTTTTAAGTTGGATATGTTTTGGCGCAGCCGTGAAGTACTGTCAAGAGTATCAAAGTTCTTACTGTTCACTTCAAGTGATTTCTCATTATGGGAAATGATACAAATGGGTCCGATCCATTGAGGATATCTCCATGTCCTATATCAGGGCTAGACACTAACGGGTGCCTAGGGTACCTGAGCACATACGATTTAAGTCCAGACCCCCATCATTATGAAGTTTTTACATAAGGCTCGTACATAGAAACTGTAAAAAGTTCAGTCTGGACCCCCTTCAGTGTGGAGCCTTGCCTGTATGATGTTTGCCCTTTTTTTTTTCTTTTTCATTTAATTTCATTCATTATTTATTAAAAGAAAAATCATGAATGTAATTGTTTGACCTTAGGGTCCTTTTGTAGTATCATATGTTGACCACAAAACAATTTTCATTAACTGTTTGGTTAAACAATTGGGTAGAAAATGTGTGTATGTCCTATTATGACAAACACAGGATTGCCCATTGGTATAATTGTAAAGATAACCATTATAATCACATGACTAAGTATGCCTGGACCCCTCTTGTGTCAGGGATGCCAAAATTCTGCCTAAGAATATTCTAATTTTGTTGTAATGATGCACTAAAATGGCTGGCTTTCTTCCTTTTCTGAAGTAAAACCATACCATGTACATGCATTAGTTGTCAAAACTTCTTCTTCTGAAAGATATTCTCAGCCAAATTTAGCAGTGAATCCAAGAAGAAGAAGAATATTTTCCATTGAAATTGTTATGTATGATGATTTTCAGGAGGGGTGAAATTCCCAAAATGTATTAATTATTGAAATGTTTCTTGTCATCATGATGCAGCCAAACCTATGTAAACTCCATTAACAGTGCAAATGAATTGTTTTATGTGTGCTAAAGTTTGTTTAAATGTTGAAATAACAACTCTAAGAGATACAATGTATTTGATGAATCTGTTATTGAAAAAATAAAGATTAAAAAAGAATGTTGTTAAAGTAGAGAACCAATGCATTGTACTAATGTACTAATTACTTCAAATTCATCAAGAAACTGATATGAGAGCTGGTTTTTGGCCAAAGTACTGAAATTTTGACTGGTCAATCAAATAGATAGTTTGTTTCAGCTTCAGATGGTTGGGTACAGGAACTTCTAATATTCAACAGGTGAACTTCTTATTATTCTCAAAGAACTTCTTAACCAGCATCCAACAATTGTGATGGTCACAACCAAAACAACCATCTAGCATCATCATGTGGAACCACATTTCATTGGTAGGATACAAGAACTTTTCTCAAGAAGTTATCAATATTGTAACTGGATGACAAATCATCTAGCTGCACTGTATGGTACCAGACTTGTTCTACAGCCTTCACAATCTTTTTCAAGAATTCATCAACTTTGTGACTGGGTCACAGCTTCATTTTATGGTACCACATTTTCTTGAGATCCTTCAAAAACTTTTCTCAAGCTGTTGTCAACATTGTGACTGGGTCACAACTCATCTATCATTGTTGCGTGGTACCAGATTTTCTTGAGATCCTTCAAAAACTTTTCTCAAGCTGTTACCAACATTGTGACTGGGTCACAAATCATCTAGCTGCACTGTATGGTACCAGATTTGTTTGACATCCTTCAAAAACTTTTCTCAAGCTGTTATCAACATTGTGACAAGGTCACAACTCATCTAGCTTCATTTTATGGTACCACGTTTTCATGAGAGCCTACAGAATCTTTTCTCAAGATCCGATTTCTAAAAAAGGAATATGGTTGCATCGTGTTATCAGCTCTTTATATGCCCAATTATTCTACTACTTAATATTTATTGAAACCAAAGCATATTTGAATATTGACTTTTTTTCAAAGAGATATTTATATCAGGCATGTTGATGTCTTGATTTGATGTTGATTTAAAAAAAATTATGTTCAATAGTAGGTTTGGCTGTATCAGTACTTGATGATTCTTAAGTGAAGTATTTAAGATTTTACAAACTATTTCACATGTTCAGAATGACATTTACTAAACATATTTGTTGACTATTAGAAAGCGGTTTGTGTCGTTAAAGTGCTTTCACAGACCTATTGCATGGCATACATATGAATATGTACCAAAGTATCATTAGTGATCAAGCACTCTATTAAATATATGGACCAAAGACTTTTTATGGATTTGATAAATGAACCAAGCAATTTTGGCAGAAAGATGACCACATTGTTTCTTTCACAGCTAAGGATTTATTGTGAATATTTGATTTATTGTGATTTTGTGAATAGTATACACTTAAGAATATATATGTACATATTTGATAAATAGTGTTATATCATGTCAAGAATACCTTATTAGTTATATCATGTAGGAAATTGGATTATTATGATGCTATGTGTGATTGTGTGTTCAAGTCTTTCTTATTTATGATTTTGTGAAATATGATTATGAATAAATGATTATCAAAAAAAGAAAAAAAAAAAGAAACAATGCATTCGAGAATGACATGAAAATTTGCTAACAGCAATGTTTATTTTCTATTCATCTCTTTGCATTGTTTAGATTACTGGCTCCCACCTCATCCACCACTGGGAATGTGAGACATAAACACTTCTATCCTAAGTTCAAAGAGGTTGATCTCTCCAAAGAAAACTTCAACCGTTTCAAGCAACGACCAGTAGAGGGCGATCTAACCAAGGAGAATGAGACGTTTGTATATAAATGGAGTCAGACGAAGCACATGATGAGTCCATTGAAGCAGGCTCCATGGTTGAAAGGTGAATGGACTCCTCAGTCCAAGAGGGCAGGAGTCATCGCCATCAAGCTAGGCATGCAACCTCTATGGACAAAGGAAGGAAAACGAGTTCCTACTACACTCTTACAGGTTAGTACTTCTAGGGCAGCTTCATGGTTACCATACCAACAAAAAATAACTTGGTACTTCGTCTTTTATGAAATACCGGGTATTCAGAGTAGGGCTGCGACGAGTAATTCAGAGTCCATGTAAGATAGTGATGTGGCACCGTTACATGTACATCCTTATACTAGTACTCTTGTTAACCTCTGATTATTTATGGCAGAATATATTCTACTCTAACATCTCTGTGCATATAAACATGTTAGTAGTTTTTATTTGATGAGTCTTACATTTTATTGTAAATTTCATAGTTGATACGTCATTTGAAATCAATTCCCAGTCCCATTATTCTTCAGGGAGTTCTGAGAATAGCATTTTTTCTATTCTTTACTAATGTCCTTTGTCAAGGCATTAATCTACATTTGCCACTCCATACCCAGGGCCAGGAGAGCAAAGGTGACCTGGTAGGATGAAGAAAAAAAAAATTGTGTTAGTAATTGCCATATGCCCTTACAGTGACCATATGGTAGGAATACTCCCCAGGGAATGGAGATGGTGCGCATAGTGCATTAATGAATCAAATCTGTTGATTTAATAAACATTATGTAGATGTAGTTGTTAATTGATATATAATATGCCGTTTTATTTGACAGGTTTTGGAGTGCAATGTAATAGATTTCCATCCTCAAGGGCTAAATGGGAGTGATCGACCTGGGACTGTCCTTGTAGCCGCCAAGAATGCCCCACCATACTATGTGAGTCCATCTTCAAATCCATCCATCAGCAGTATTTCGTATCTCAAAAGTAAACTTATTCATGATGCCAATCAGAAGTAGTCAGTGGAGCTCAGGAATAAGTCGGGACAATAAAAAAAAAAAAATAAAAAAAAAAAACTGAAGCATATTTGATTATGATATTTGCAAGCAGCTATACCAGGCCTGATTAATTACCTGACTTAAATCGGTTTCCTTATTTATTTATTTTTTATTTATTTATTTTTTATTTTTTTATTCCTCCCCCCCCCCCCCCCCCCAGGTTTTCCTTTTTTTTTTTTTTCCTTCTTCCCGATTTCACCCTTTTCCCTACAATTTTCTTTCTCAAAAAGGGGGGGGGGGGGATGTTGTTACATGCCTTTTTTTTTTTTACTCAAGGGGGGGGGGGGCTAGTTGAGGGGGAATTTTTTAATTTTTTTATTTAGTGCTCACTATCACCCCTGATCTACACATTTGAAAGATTTAGTTCAGCATGTGATTTATTCATGTTGGCTTTCATCAGATCAATGAATATATTCTAAGCTGATTCAGAAGTAAACCTCAACAGGGCAGATCTATATAAGCTTATGCGAGCGTGTATGGGTGAGTAGTCGACTCCCAAGTCGCTTTATGTTAATTGGATTGTATTTAAATCGGCATTATCTCTGTTTGGAAGTATTATTGGAGCTCGTAGTTGGAATACAGTGCAGTCATATAATAGAACTCCTAATAAACAGAACAATATATTTTCTCATGATTGTTACACTTGAAAGTATCCAATTGGATTGTGTATAGAGAGCAATATTCATACACCAAGGATTAAATACTAGATTATAGTCTAAAAACTCTTGTCTTTTATTCCATTCTTCAGAAAGATGAGGAGTATGCAGATCTGTTCAAGTCAGTGTGTCTACCTGTCAAAGAACACATCACTAGCTTCAATGTGACAGATAATGCAGCTCTTCAACCAGGTAAGCTAGCAGTCAATTATGTAGTTTAGAGCAGAGAGAAGCTTTCACATCATTCCTTCGAGATAATACCATATATCATTAACCAGAGCTTTCTAGTGATCTACTACAACAATGTAATGATAAAGATGAATTTGTTCTTGCAAGCATTATTTAACAATTCCCATTTCTAAGAACTGCCTGTTTGTACAATACTATAGAGTACCTAAGTGTGACTCCATATTAGCCAAGTTGTCAAGGTCCCTGGTTCCAAGCAAGGTTGTGCCAAACATTGAATTTGCCTTGCTCCAGTCTGTTGTCTGAATGACTTTTCGTTGAAACTCACTGGGAACCATTAACCTGGGACCTGTTGCATAAAACTTACCATTGATGGTAACTTTGCAATCAATGGCAACTACCATGGTAACAGGGCTCAACAGCCAATCAAAATCAAGGTTTCCATGGTAGTTACCATTGATGGCAAAGTTACCGTCAATATGACGTTAGCACTTCTGTACTCTATACCAGGGCTCCACAATAACTTTTATGGAAGGGAGACCCAGATTGTTTTTAAGAGTCTATGCTTTTGCCCTTTATAGAAAACCCTTCTTTTTTTTCTTTTTATCAGAGGTGGTGGTGGGGGGGGGGGGGGGGGGGGGGAAGGGACTTACATTTTGGACATCCATGTGTCCCATGCACCAGTTTGTGTCAAGCCCTGTCTATTCTAATGATTGTATAATTTAGTGCTGTAGTCAAACGTTTAACCGTCCGGTATCCGACCGCCCATGGCGGATTCCGTTTTCAATTGGACGGTTTCGTTTTCCCGATTTTTTTTTTTTTTTTTTTATAATTTTTTTTTTTTTTTTTTTTTTTTTTTAAAGTTTCGATTTATGCCCCTCCACCTGGCACTATGCCTGGCAATGTCTCCCAGCTCAGTAATCTGTGTGTTGACTCACCACTCCAAAACTAGAACAACACTCCAATTTGTCTGTCATCTTGGTTTGAAAGTAATCTTTGTAATAGATCTCATCATCTCAATATGTAGTTTATAATAATAATTCATCCAACTTTTACACAAGGTTCTGTCCTAGGTCCTCTACTGTTTTTAATTTACATTAATGATCTTACACATTCTTCTAAAAACAACATTGTTACTATTATTTGTGACAAGTTCACAAGCACAAATCGGCCCCTTTAAATGCACCTCGCAGGTAAAAAAAAAAAAAAAAAAAAAAACCATTTTTTTTTTTTTTTTTTTTTTTTTTTTTTTAAATCGTTTAACCGAAAACCGTCCGGTTTTGACTGGCGGTTAAACGGAATTGGAGATATCCGTGATGTTACAGCACTAGTATAATTTGAGTTGGGTGTTTATCATCTTTATCTCTATGACATGTGATTACATAGATTTTACAAGGCTATAATTTGATCTATGTACCTTTGTATAAATTTTGATTCTTCTGATCACAATGTCAGGTTTTGCTTCTTATATTTCAAGCCAATGAATTACTATGATGATATATGATGGCCAACCATTTCAAAGTTGATGTATATCAACATTCTTGAGGAAGAGTTTTTGAAAGTTTCTACCTTTCCTATAGATACCATCATTATTGCTTGGATTATGTGAATATTATCATATATCAACACTGTTTTGGTTTGTTCTATAATCTTTTCATTTGATTGTTTTGGTTCCAGGTACACCTCTGTATGCTGCTCATTTTAGACCAGGCATGTATGTGGACATCGCAGCTAAGACGTAAGTATCTCTTCTCTCTTTTAAGTTCATAAAACAATGTTAACCCGATGAGGCACATGTTCAGAAGAGGTTACTCAAATCAAATTATTTTTCTCTTCAAATGGCAACCATTTTATATTCCAAACAAAACATCGCATAATGATTGCAGATGTATTTTTCATATGGTGAAGGGAAAAAAAAGCATAAAAACAATCACAAATTGCCAATCTTAAATCATCAATACAGGTATGCTTGATGCACTTTTTTTGTAAAACATGAACATCCCAAAATGCTGTAATCTCTCTTGATGAGCCTCTGTAAATCTTCAATTGGCAAGGCTTTATGTTAAAGATAAACTCCAGTTCTGGTAAAAAAAAATTAAAAAAATTCTCACAGAATCAAACGAAACTTACACTGAATGTTCAAGATTACAAATAAATGTCATGTGCCAAACAATTTTGGAAGAAAATGTATACTGGCTGAGTAATGAGCATAGAAAGATAAGGAAATCAGGGTAGTACCAGCCCCGAAATCACATGTGTTGTCCCATATACATCTTTCTGTGTAAGTGATTGTTACTTTACCAAGACTCTGCCAAATTTATGATGATTTTGATGACTACAGAACCTTGCATTACACACCATTGCTACATGCTATATGATCAACTTTTCTGCAATCGCATTACCAGAACTCAAGTTTATCTTTAAGTTCATAAAACCATGTTAACCCGATGAGGCACATGTTTAGAAGAGGTTACTGAATCACATTGTTTTTCTGTTTTTATATTCAAAGAAAACGTCGCATATTGATTGCAGATGAATTTTTCATTTGGTGAAGGAAAAAAAAAGCATAAAACAATTTAAAATTGCCAATCTTAAATCATCAATACAAATATGTTTGATGCACTTTTTTTTTAAACATGAACATCCAAAGATGCTGTAATTTATCTTGATGAGCCTCTGTAAAATCTTCAATTGGCAAGGCTTTATGTTAACATCACACCTATGAGATGACTTTATTCCTTTGATGTTTGATTTAAACAGGATAGACAAGGGTTTCCAAGGTGTGATGAAGAGATGGGGTATGAAAGGACAACCAGCTTCTCATGGTGCTACCAAAACACATAGGAAGATGGGAGGATCAGGTGGTGGAGGGGTAAGACTTGCACCTCTATGTATGAAAATACCAGTCGTATGAACACAGGAGGGGTAACACTTGTGCCTCTATGTATGATAATACCAGTCGTATGAACACAGGAGGGGTAACACTTGTGCCTCTATGTATGATAATACCAGTCGTATGAACACAGGAGGGGTAACACTTGTGCCTCTATGTATGATAATACCAGTCGTATGAACACAGGAGGGGTGACACTTGTGCCTCTATGTGTGAAAATACCAGTCGTATGAAAACAGGAGGGGTAAAACTTGGACCTCTATGTATGAAAATACCAGTCTTATGAACACAGGAGGGGTAACACTTGTACCTCTATGTATGAAAATACCAGTCATATGAACACAGGAGGGGTAACACTTGTACCTCTATGTATTAAAATACCAGTCATATGAACACAGGAGGGGTAACACTTGTACCTCTATGTATTAAAATACCAGTCATATGAACACAGGAGGGGTAACACTTGTACCTCTATGTATGAAAATACCAGTCTTGGTAACACTTGTACCCCTATGTATGGAAATACCAGTCATATGAACACAGGAGGGGTAACACTTGTACCTCTATGTATGGAAATACCAGTCATATGAACACAGGAGGGGTAACACTTGTACCTCTATGTATGAAAATACCAGTCATATGAACACAGGAGGGGTAACACTTGTACCTCTATGTATGAAAATACCAGTCATATGAACACAGGAGGGGTAACACTTGTACCTCTATGTATGAAAATACCAGTCGTATGAATACAGGAGGGGTAACACTTGTACCTCTATGTATGAAAATACCAGTCGTATGAATACAGGAGGGCTAACACTTGTACCTCTATGTATGAAAATACCAGTCATATGAACGAAAATACCAGTCATATGAACACAGGAGGGTAACACTTGTACCTCTATGTATGAAAATACCAGTCGTATGAATACAGGAGGGCTAACACTTGTTCCTCTATGTATGAAAATACCAGTCATATGAACACAGGAGGGGTAACACTTGTACCTCTATGTATGAAAATACCAGTCGTATGAATACCGGAGGGCTAACACTTGTACCTATATGTATGAAAATACCAGTCGTATGAACACAGGAGGGGTGACACTTATACCTCTATGTATGAAAATACCAGTAATATTAACACAGGAGGGGTAACACTTGTACCTCTATGTATGAAAATACCAGTCATATGAACACAGGAGGGGTAACACTTGTACCTCTATGTATGAAAATACCAGTCGTATGAATACAGGAGGGCTAACACTTGTACCTCTATGTATGAAAATACCAGTCGTATGAATACAGGAGGGGTAACACTTGTACCTCTATGTATGAAAATACCAGTCGTATGAACACAGGAGGGGTGACACTTGTACCTCTATGTATGAAAATACCAGTCGTATGAACACAGGACGGGTGACACTTGTGCCTCTATGTATGAAAATACCAGTCGTATGAACACAGGAGGGGTGACACTTATACCTCTATGTATGAAAATACCAGTAATATTAACACAGGAGGGGTAACACTTGTACCTCTATGTATGAAAATACCAGTCATATGAACACAGGAGGGGTAACACTTGTACCTCTATGTATGAAAATACCAGTCGTATGAATACAGGAGGGCTAACACTTGTACCTCTATGTATGAAAATACCAGTCGTATGAATACAGGAGGGCTAACACTTGTACCTCTATGTATGAAAATACCAGTCATATGAACACAGGAGGGGTAACACTTGTACCTCTATGTATGAAAATACCAGTCGTATGAATACAGGAGGGGTAACACTTGTACCTATATGAATGAAAATACCAGTCGTATGAACACAGGAGGGGTAACACTTGTACCTCTATGTATGAAAATACCAGTCGTATGAATACAGGAGGGGTAACACTTGTACCTCTATGTATGAAAATACCAGTCGTATGAACACAGGAGGGGTGACACTTGTACCTCTATGTATGAAAATACCAGTCATATGAACACAGGACGGGTGACACTTGTGCCTCTATGTATGAAAATACCAGTCGTATGAACACAGGAGGGGTGACACTTGTACCTCTATGTATGAAAATACCAGTCGTATGAATACAGGAGGGGTAACACTTGTACCTCTATGTATGAAAATACCAGTCGTATGAACACAGGAGGGGTGACACTTGTACCTCTATGTATGAAAATACCAGTCATATGAACACAGGAGGGGTGACACTTGTGCCTCTATGTATGAAACTACCAGTCGTATGAACACAGGAGGGGTGACACTTGTACCTCTATGTATGAAAATACCAGTCGTATGAATACAGGAGGGGTAACACTTGTACCTATATGTATGAAAATACCAGTCGTATGAACACAGGAGGGGTAACACTTGTACCTCTATGTATGAAAATACCAGTCGTATGAATACAGGAGGGGTAACACTTGTACCTCTATGTATGAAAATACTAGTCGTATGAACACAGGAGGGGTGACACTTGTACCTCTATGTATGAAAATACTAGTCATAAGACTTATACCTCTATGCTGATGAGTATTATGACCATAAAGTTAAGTGGAATGAAAGGACTTGTATATTTATGAGAATACCAGCGTTGTAGGCTGAAAAGATGGTAGAGGGGTCAAATTTGTACCCCGTTCACTATCATGTTTATGATTGGAGCATGGTGGGATATTCCAGGTGTATAACCAACGTGTTTGTTTACTGTCTTTGTCTATGATAGGACCTTGTAGGTTCCCTTTACTATGCACTTCCCCCAGTAATCAAATGTAATCTACTGTTTTAAATTTCTGTCTTCAAATCTGTGTTTTGAAAGGCTAGGGTGCTTATGATGTGATTTCCCTTGAATATTCCATATGATTATATTATTATTATATTAATTGTTTGGTTATTTATGTTTTTTGTTTTTTGTTTACAATCTTGTTAACTGTCTTGTTTATGATAGGATCCTGGTAGGATATGGCCTGGTAAGAAGATGCCTGGATTCATGGGTGATAAGCTCCGGTGGACATTTGGCCTGAAGGTATGTAGTGTATGATGAAAGACTTGGTACACACCAGGGGGGCGTTTCACAAAACTTGTCATCGGTGACAAATGACAGCTTTTGTTATAAGCTACTGAAATCCTTGCTTCTGATTGGTTATCAGCAGATTTGTCACTGTTATTTGTCATTGAAAAAAAGGCTTTGTGAAATGGGTTCCAGGGTCTTGTTAAGTCAGTTCTACCATTCCAAGCTTTGAGACATGCAGAGCATGACACCCCTCCCCCTCCCTCCTCCCCCTCCCCCCCCCCCCCCCCCCCCCCTCCCCTCCCCCCCTCCTCTCCCCCCCTCCTCCTCCTCCCCCTCCTCCTCCTCCCCCTTCTCCTCTCCCCCTTCTCCTCTCCCCCTCCTCCTCCTCAAGCCAGGTCTCAACTGGATTAATAATTGGTTTTCTGAAATAGAATTACCAGCAATATTTTTTTTTCCTCCAACCAATGTTGCCTTAGGAGGTAGTTGACTGGGGTGGTTATTCGAGTGGAAGGGGGGGGGGGGGGGGAGGTGGATGGTAGATGTCCAGGGGGTAGGTGTCCTGATTCAATATGTTTTTGTATTTAAGAAACATGATTAAACAGGCCACTCATATGTGATATGAATAATTGTAGATTGTATGAAATGTTGAGGTTTGCACTAATAAAAGTAATTGGGGTTTTTCTTCATCTCTTTTGTGCAGATGTAAATTTAAACAATAGGTATTTGAACTATTCACAGAGGAAGCAAACACATTTTCACAATCTGGATAAACATCTTCTTTGGTTTTGACTATGGCAGAGTGTAGAAAAATACAGAATTTTAATCATTTATCCATGATAATTTATTGCAATGAATGTCTAGTTTCTTGTACTGATCAATTTGACTCCATCCTGTTATTCCATTCCTCAGGTACTACGGGTGAATACCAAGCATAACATCCTCTATGTCAAGGGTACCATTCACGGGCGTAACTTGGGCTTCGTCAAGGTCAAAGACTCTCACCTCCATCCCGTCTCTGAGATGCCACCCTTCCCTACATACTACCCAGAAGAAGAGATAGAAGAAGATCTCATGGATGAATCACTGCATAACTTCTCCCATGCTAGCATTGAATATGAGATTGAGGAAGAGGAAGTGTCATGATGACATGTGAATCATGGAAAGACAGACATTAGATTTACAGAGGCTTGGATCGAACTCCATGCCTTACAAACATTGATAGAGACTATACACAGCACAAATCCCAATCTTCAATATAAGAAGAGGAGGGAGGTTTGTGTGATATTTTGAGTGATTACTATGAATAATCATGAATTGGTTTGCAGGAATGCCAGTTTTCAGGCAATAGTCTGAATTCAGACCCTAGCAAGTTATTTTCAGTCCATAGCTTAGGCTTTTTTGTGTACAAAATAGCTTGTTCTAGGTGATTTTCAGGCCCTCTGATCAATTCTAACTGGCATTCCTGGATTTGTAAGCCATCATTCTTTGGAGGTAATAGTTCTTCAAATTCCTTATTTATCTCCTGGATAGTGGCTATAATGTAAGAAATAGATTGAAACAGGTTGTTGGATGTGTAACTATCAAGTGTTGAACTAGCCTCAGTCAATCACCTGTGGTGTGGGGGATTATGAGAGCACCAAGAAATGATGTGCCACTTGCAGTCATTATAAACCTAGTGGACGGTCTGTCATATATTACACTCAGTAGAGGGGATGTATGAGTTCAAGGGGTACATCTTCTAATGTTCAAATATTGATATGATCGCTAGATGCCACTTCTTAGTGGAAAGTGAAGGAAGTTCTCGGAATATCAGGCCTGATTAATTACCCAATTTAAATCGGTTTCCCGTTTGTTTCCAGATTTTTTTTCTTCTCCAATTTATCCGAACTTGTTCACAATTTTCTTACTCAAAAGGCGGGGAATGTTGTTAGATGCCATTTTCCCCCCCTGAATCCTTGTTTTTTTTTAGTGCTCACTATCACCCCTGTCTCAGATATGAATCTATTTTTGTCATGTCCAGTCAGTTAACCATTTTCCCACATTTTGTGGATGGGGTTCTGAACTGTGATATGTTTGAAGTAGTACAAAGTGCTTTTTATGAAGAATAATATTGACTGAATTATTGAATGATTCACTGATTGACATAAATAAATACTATCAACAAGTCATTTAGTTTTATACTCTGATTTTTAGTTTTGTATTGCCATTACAGTATCTATGATTACTCTGTGCATATCAACAATTGCTAGCAATATTTGTGAAAGTATAGCAAGACACTTCAAACAGGTTGATACATATACATCTTGGGAAATACAGAAGGACCTCATAATAACAAACTGTACTTTGGCTGGCCCCACCATCCTGTGGTTTTGTGTAGCCCTGATAAAACAAGTTAACCCATTTGGTCTCGAGGTGTTTGCCATCGTGAGGTTACACTCTACATACATTCATACTGCACTGTAACTTCAATCACATTATATTGCAATATATCTTTTATCTTTAAAATAAACATTAAATTCTTACTTTATTTTTACTTGATTCTCAAAATGTCATTACAAGGTCACTGAACTTTCTTTTAAAGTCAGACAAATATTTCAAAATATACATTATTTCATAGTGTGCTTGAAAACGAGTCCTTTCTTCAAAATCAGTGATTGCGGAGGAAGAATTAATTTTCAAGTTACATCACCAATCAGATGAACCTATTCAGTGATTCACCACAGTGAGCTGTTTTCCACCTGAAAAACCTCACATTAGTTCCACTTAGGATCATTCTTGCAAATAAACATACATACAACAATAGTGAACAAATAACATGTTCACAAAATCAGAATATAAATGTACATGGCAAGCTATTGCACAAAATTTGTTCTGCTCTGACATCCCCTTTGGCACTTACTAATTAACTATCAACAACAACAGCAAACGATGATCATGAAATCTTAAAGATTTTGCAGCCTTTGATCGTTTCAAACCCTATGCTATATAAAAAAAATCCATGAGGTTTGAAATCCGGTTATTATATAAGAAATTACATGTATTTCAAATGTATTCTGGCTATTACTTAGAACATTCTTTATTATTCCCAAAAATGCGGCAATAATGGATTACATTTTAAGTAGTTCTGGTTTGAGATTGTAAGTGGTAAAATTGTTGTTTTTTTTAAAGAAAATTTCATATCAATGGTTTTTGGGAAATGAGGATAATTAATTTGATGATATTTTGAACTAGATGGAACTTTGACTGCACATATTAAAAAATGATGCCTCCGTCATAAAGCAATTTCACAAACCAAAACGGAAGCAATTTTTAAAATTCAAATTTGATTGTAATCCATCTGTTGGATTATGATAATGCATTCACAAGCTATTTATAGGCAATTAGGCATACATAATGAGCCCCATGACCTTTGACCTCATGATCCTAAAATCTAATCGGTTCATCGGCTCTGCAAGATACATATACATGTCTTGAGTTTGAGGGTAATCTGTTGATCGGTTCTCATAATAATATTTTTTTTTTAAATACATAATGAGACCTGTGACCTTTGACCTTGTGACCCCAAGATCTAATGAGCTCATAGGCTCTGCAAGATACATACATGACCTAAGTTTGGCAGTAATCCATCAATCGGTTCTTGAGATAACGCGAACGTGATGTACGAAAGGACAGACAACCTGAAAACATAATGCCTATGACTACTTTGTAGCTGAGGCATAACAATAAATGGTATATTTCAATATCTTGCTAAAGAAACACCAGAATCTCTGTACATAGATGTTCATGTGACAAAGAGTACCTGACCAAAGTAATGAACTAATATGACATTTCAAGATTAAACATCATCCTGTTATATTGCATTGATGGTGATCATCCACAATTAATAGATACATGTATAATGAGACGGCTAGTTACTCTGTGTACACCATAACCAAACTAAGCATCTCATGCTCTGCATGTCTCTATATTGTAGTGAGTTCCAGTCTTGAGTCTTGGCTCTCTCATTAACTCATTGGTTCTCTGGTACGTAACAGGCTGCTATTCATGGTATTTCAATGAGTTCTGGCTCTCCTTCTCGGTAAGTCTTTGTAGTTCCAGTCTTGTGTCGTAGCTCTCTCATTAACTCATTGATTCTCTGGTATGTAGCAGCCTTTTATTCATGGTATTTCAATGAGTTCTGGCTCTCCTTCTCTGTAAGTCTTTGTAGTTCCAGTCTTGTGTCTTAGCTCTCTAACTAACTCATTGATTCTCTGGTATGTAGCAGTCTTCTATTCATGGTATTTCAATGAGTTCTGGCTCTCCTTCTCGGTAAGTCTTTGTAGTTCCAGTCTTGTGTCTTAGCTCTCTAACCAACTCATTAATTCTCTGGTATGTAGCAGTCTACAAAAGGAAAAACAAGTATGAGAGATGGATGGTAAACATACACACACACACAAATTGATTTGAGATATTGAACGAATGGGTGGATGATTATTGGCTTTATATTCAGGTGTACTAAGCAACAGATCAATACAGATTGTTTTCTTAGATTCTCAATCACGAAGATTTCACATTTCAAATATGTCATGTTATCATACCTCAACTTCTCAAGTTGGATCTTAATCAACAACAGCAATGTACTTAACTATAGACGATCCTTGCATATTTTAACACAAAAAGGATTTATGAGCCATTTTTGTCCTATTGCTTTGCTTCGTAGTAAGTCCCTATAAAGATTGCTTGGTGTTAGATTGTTTTTGTGCCTTCCATACATCAGGGATCACAGTAACCTTAGAACTTTAGTGACACATATAAATAACTTCTTTCTGAGATAAACATACCTTTGCATTGAGAACAAGGAACATGTCTGTGATCTTGACTATCTTGCCGTGTTTCTTGTTCGCGTGAAAGTATCTCTTACCGTTGATGATTCCGTCTGTGTCGCCAGCTGGTAAAATAAAATGAAGTATAAAGATTTGTTTCAAGGCTAAGCAGTCAAAAAGCCTGCTACACTGAATTCAGAATCATTCCCACTATTAAACTCTCGTTAGACCCATATTCCAGAAAAAGTATGATGTATTGGAAATCAACAGATCACCAAATTTGTTAACTTGAGGTTATTCTTTAAATGTTGCCATTTTTAGTTACAGAATGTTGTAACTGTTCTCTTTATCAAAACAGTTCTTGTCACTAAATTGCATTTTGGGATTACAGAAAATATAGTTAGAAACAATCCATCATCAGGTCTCGAGAAAAGGATATATACTCTATAAAATTCACTCATGCTTAGTTACCTCCTCTTCTTGTACTATGATAAGGAAGTTTTTGTATAAAAATCAACTTACTTGGTTCATCTAGCCTTAGCCCCACGTATATATGATGGTCGATAGGATCCTTGTCGATCTTGCCAACAAACTTCACAATCCCTGTCAGGAAATCACTTGGTTTCATTGCTGCAAGAGAAAAGATAATTCAATTCCAAACACTCCTTTCTTCAGATTAATGTTTTGAAAAGAAGGAATCTGCATTTTGCATTCTATTTCATCCGTTAAAGAAAGTCAATAACACATATACATTCTCTCTATTTTATGAAGAATGCTTTGTATTAAAATAAAAAATTATGTTGAGCTACAGGGTATTACATTAAAAAAGACATCCAGTATATATGCATATTGATAACTGTAATGCTATTTTCCAAACAACTAATTTTACATTTTCATATATCTGCAATATGATTGGTGGATTTATGTTTTCAGAAGAAACATGTTTACAAGGTGAATTGAGTCACAGGAATATCTTTTCTTTTCAAATGACTAAACATTAGAAAAAGAGGGTAACTTACATATGATCTTTGTACCGCTCTTCTTAACCCTCACTCGGTCCCCAACATGTACAAACTGAGCCACCATGAAATCATCTTCATACAGACGGGTCCCTTTAGGAAGCGCTGACTTGTCCCGCCTCTGTATCCTAGCAACACAAGACTTGGGTCGAACACGTTGATGTGACCTTGGTGACCCTGACCTCTTATCTTGTGGAGAGTAAACTCCATTGGGTTCATAGAGGTCATAAACTGTTGGCATGTCGTCATGGTTACCATCATTCTCTAGAAATCGGAGGAAGCTTTTCTGGGACGTATCGATAGCTTTAGTTGGAGAGTTGCGCTTTGTATGAAAGGGGTAATTATCTCCTTCATCTGAGATGTCTTCTAGTAATGGTGAAGCACCTTGTTTTGGAGCAGACTGGAAGGAAGGAATAATACAGAAAATAGAATATATCTATATTCGGCATTTTAGCATTTATTCAATTCCATAATAAAAACAGTAACATCAACATACAGGTAATATAAAAGAAGTACTACTTATACATAATTATTATTAAAATAGTAAGATATTGACAGTAAAAAAAAAAATAGGAAATCGGTTGCTGTATAAAAACCCTAGTGGGTTTGTCTGGACAGCCACCATAAACAGTAAAATGAGTAAAAGAATCATACAAAAAGATAAAACTGCATATGAATAAACAATCTCATCTTTCACCTAGGGTGTGAAAATTACTAAGGACATTCAATTGCATGAGAAATTATCAATACCATCACAATTTATGTTTCATTATCTATTCCTTTCCCTTGATAAGTGTCTCTCTACATCTCATTTCTTTATCATTATTCTCTATCCCTCCTTTTCTGTTTCTTTCTATTTTGGTCTTTCTCTCTACTCTATATTTCCCTTTTTCTTTCTTGGTCCTCCCCCACCCCCCCCCCCCCCCCCCCCCTCTCTCTCTCTACTCTATCTTGCCTCCTCTCTCTCTACCTTATCTTTCTCTCCCTCTCTCTCTCCCTCTCTCTCTCGGCTTCTCTCCTTATCTCCGTCTCTCTCTCCCTCAACGATATCCCAGGAAGACCTACCTTGTGGTATCCATTCGTCTGTATACCTTGTGTCTTCCTAGGGTTCTGGTAGAGTGGACATGATGGATCACTGCATGATCTTAATGTGCTGAAAACAAAAGTATTGTACAAGGTTTTATGAACTAAAGTCTAGAACTTACATGAATGAAGGGAGGGAGGAAGGAGGGAGGGAGGGAGGGAGGGGATGGGGGCACTTGCTGCAATAATGATTTTAAAATAATGTTATTGTTTAACTCTTAGCACTGGAAGTATGCTATATATACTCCGAACAATATGGCATTCTTAAGTTTTGATCAATGGCAAATAAAAGAGTTAGTGGCACATTTGGTTGGCACATTCAGCACCCTCTAGGCAAAAGTAAGCAAATCATTTCTGTGCAATCTCTTGGTAAAATAATGTTGCTGCCTGCACCCCACTAAAAAGCTGGCTACCTAAATAATAGTTACCGTTCTAAATGGTTTACTTACTAGTTGATGGATTCCATTGATTTTCTGTTCCCTGTTGCATTAGCAATCTGTTGAGCTTGTTTTATGACAAGGCGATCCTTCCCATCTAACAGCTTCTTTAAAGTCTCAACTTCACACTTAGCATGTTCCATCTCAGTTTCCACGGCAATCAAACGGTCTATCTCATCCTCAAGATGCTGGAAGAACAAAATAATAAGATTGATATCATTAACCCACTCAAGAGTAATATCTCACAATGGGAGCAGAGAGAACAAAGTATATGGTTTGTATATTTACAAAGTAGATTCTTGTGATAGGTTATAGGTGCAAAACATCTTCTGACTAGAGCCTAAAGGCTGTTGACAGAAATGAACTCGCTCCCTTCTGCTTCTCAAGAGATAATACGCAAATTTATATATCATAAGCATTGCTAAATTCTGATGATTATCATTATGTTAAACAAGTTATCTAAGATTCAAATCAATAAACACCTTCAATCATTTAGATAATTTTGCATACTTTAACAATTTCCTTGTACTGTTGACTACCATACACCTTTTTTCTACCATTCTCTACACATCCTCAAGAAAGATTACAGAGTCTTTTTCAGGACTCCTCAATCCTCTCTCTCTCTCTCACACATGGTGCACCCGCAAGCCTACTGTATAATGAAGATTTTGCTACCATCATTGTAACTGTTGATTTGTATTACTCTGATTTCTTATATACCTTGATAGTTATCTTGTTATCTCTCAGGATGTATCTTGCGTGTGTAAGTTGAGTTTTCTTCTCGTCTAAGACACTCTGTACTGCTGCCACTCTCTCATCGGTCTCAGAAAGATCTTTCTTCAATAATGGGATCACCCTCAGCTCCTGAAACATCATAACAATTAAAACAGTGGGACTTATAAAAAATTACACTTTTATCAAACGCTTCATCCTAAGAAGTCGGTTACACAACCAAACTCTTAACTGAATGACTTTTATGCCATTAATGAAGTGTGTTTTGATTAATCAGTCTAATACTGATCTTGTCCGTGTGACTAAGGCATATGGAAGGAGTTGGAGTTAGATCTAGAAAATCATGTAAAGGATTATTCACCTATCCAAACTTCTAATAACAATAGTAATATACACTCTCAAAAAAGCCAGTTTCAAACTCTTAATATTAGCTTTTATCAAACATCAAGGGGGGGGGGGGTAATCTTCACCTCTTCCATTTGTTGGTTCCTCTTGATTTCACCTCTGAGCTGATGATGAAGATCAGCTACCTTAGCTTCTAATATCTCCACATTCTCCTTGCTCTCAGTTAGCGTCTTGTTGGTTTCCTCTAGTTTGGTCTTCATGTGACGCAGATCATAGTCTTTCTCTCGAACGGTAGACCTAGATTCAATGCAAAGATTATACAACACGCTGATTGATCATATCCCCAAGATTAAAGGTATTACAAAGTTTTGGGAAATTTTGAAAAATGGGTGGATAGTGATTCTTTACAATTTTGATATATTTGGATGCCCCTATGGATGTATTAAAAACACCAGAAATTTTAGCCCCTAAAACACTTCTGCTTTCGAGAAAAATTGAATATATAGATTTACCGGTGCTCCCGGTAAATTTTGATAAATTTCAAATAGCTCCTACGGCCGTACAATGGTAGCTGTGACCATGGAAATCTCAGAGTATGTAGTTGTGGTATATAATTTTCGAACGAGAATAGCTAATCAGTCAATTTTAGTCATAAACATTGTTTTATAGCTTAATTAATAACTTGACCTTGAGAGGGAGCTATTCAATATAAAGTGTTTATTATTTACAATTTCATAACTTTAGAGTCGATTTCGACCGCGACACCGATCACTGAATATTGTAGGATCGTATATGCTTCCAATATGTTCATTTGAACCAAATTCATGACCCCATACCAAAACTTTGTATTACCTTTAAATTCCTCAAATACAATGATCTTGGTTGTGTGTATTTGGCATCATCTGTGATTATACATCTGACATCTAAATCAAATGTGAGATACAGACCCCACCCCACACTGATTTATCCCCCCTTCATCCCCTCAAATGATATGATTATGTAACTCCAAGATTCCTCTCATAATTTTGCACCTTTTCCATTTATTCTTTCAATCTGCAAAGCAGAGAAACAATTTAATAACACTGGAATCAAAGGTTTGGAGAGACAAAAGAATAAAAACATGTTGTGTTTGAATTGAAATAGTACCTCAGTAATTAAGTAAATGCCCAAATTGTGAATATAATATGCTGAACTATATTTAGGAAATGACTTGTAAGACAGTATCTTTAGAATGTTGTAAGAACTCACTGTGTTACTTTGAGGATATCTCTCACTGATTCAAGGTTCAGTTCAGCTTTGTCTCCTTCAGCAGCTACATATCAGACATACAAGAGATATATTGAAACATCGGAAATATAGTAGATGTATCTTGAAACATATCAGAAATATAGTAGATGTATATAGAAATATATCATAAATATAGTAGATGTATAATTTATTGAAACATCAGATATATAGTAGATGTATATTGAAAGATATCAAATATATTGCGAAATACATCAAATAGCTATTGAAACATATCTATGATATTTACTGAAACATACAGAAGAGATATAAAAAATATGCCTGAAACATACTAAAACATATCAAAGAGATATTGCAATACTGGTTGCTTATTTAGGCCCTAATTAAGTTTAAAGTCCTTGTTTTGTCTCGCAGGATGAACTACTAATTATACACATAAAGATATAAGAAGTCTCTTCTAATTACTCCACAAATAAATAGAATATTTGAAGGATCATGATCACACCCTTCTTATATAATTCAATTTTTATTTTTTGTCAGTATGATTTATACTTCAAAGTAATCACCCTAGTCAAATAAATTAGTCTAAAACTAGCTGTAAATAGAGAAGGGGGAAGGAAACAGCACAGATAATATATTTTGTATTCATTTTATTTTTATTTTTTTAATTTTTACTTTTTTCAACTCTGAATATATTTTTCATCCATTTTCTTTTTTGTCTATTTTCCATTTTCATAAGAAAAAAGAAGGACAATAATTTTCTAGGAAATACCACAAAAATTTGTAAAAAATACAGGGCAGTTTGGTATCATATACCACAATCATATTTTATTTAGAGAAAGATCATACCTCTTGCTTCTAATCCTTTCATCTTGGTATTGAGTTTCTCTACTTCTCTCTCCAGATGTTCAATCTGCTTTCCTCTTCGTTCATTCTGTCAAGATACAACATTATTATCTATTAGGCTTTCACTAATGACTCACCTGTCTTCAATATTCTATCAGTATTAGTCAAATTTAATTGACACAATAATTGTGCAAGGCAATTATTGATATCCGACCTTTGTGATGGCTTTTCAGACTAGCAACACTGTAACAAATATATTTTGGTCAGTCTTAGATAATTAAAAATGGATCCTTCAATAAATATTCAGTCATTAATGCTGGTATTGCATGAACATTCAATATAACAACCCAGTTTTAGTAATTGTATTACAATGATCTCTTTTTTTCAAGCACAAATTCTCTACATGTGTGAGAATTCATTTTGCATATAATCACTCCCCCTAAAGAAGCCCTAAATTCAAGTTAATATACTTCAATGAAATTTTATGAATCTTACAGCCACCAACAGAGACATGAGCATATATCTGGATAGGATAGTGAGTACAGAGGAAAAGGTATGGGTGCATCAAATGGTATAAACATCTGAACTTGACAGAAGTCAGATAGAAGTGTGTAATTCATACCTCTGATTTGGTCCTCTCCAAGGTTTTAGTAGTTTTCTCCAGAGCACTGGCATTGCTACTGTTTTCTCTCGATACAGTGCTTAGCTGCTTCTCAAGATCCTGTAGGACAAAAAAAAATGAATCATGATAAAAGTTTATTTCCTACCTCTTTAAAAATTAATAACAATAAATCAACAAATTTTTAAAAGAGGTATTAAAACACGTCAATTTGTATAAAAATAATAACATGAAATCCACAATAGCTCTAAGTATTTGTCTTTAATGTATTTGTAACCTTCATTTCTTTCCTCTTAACCAAATAACATAGACTTTATTTTATTTGTTCCCGTCTTGGACCTTTGTTTACCTGTCTCCATTTTCTTTCTTTCTCAATTTAACTCCCTCTATACCGAGAGCTAGAAGGTTGTAATACAGAATTAACGCCCTTCTGATGCACGCCACATGATATAATCTAAATCACTGTCTATCTACCTGTCTCTTTGTTCTTTCTTTCTCCAGTTCAATTCTGGTAGATGCCAGATCTTCTGCAGAAGTAGTCAGCATCTCCATCTCCAGTTCTCTGTGAATACATACAAACATTAAAGATAAACTTTAGTACTGGTAATGCGATTGCATTGTGAAAGAAAAGGTGTGAAAGGATCAGAAACAGTTGATCATGTAGCATGTAAGTATTGGTGTGCACTGCAAGGTTCTGGAGTCATCAAAATCATAATAAATTTGACCGAGTCTTGGTAAAGTAACAGCACTCACATAGAAAGCTATATATGGGACAACACACATGGTGTCGGGGCTAGTACTACCTTGATTTCCTTGTCTTTCTATGCTCATTACTCAGCCAGTATACATTTTCTTCCAAAATTGTTTGGCACATGTCATTTATTTGTAATCTTGAACATTCAGTGTAAGTTTCGTTTGATTCTGTGAGAATTAATTTTTTTTTTACCAGTACTGAAGTTTATCTTTAATGTTACCAAATGTTTTTCCTCCAAATAATTTGAGTAGAAACATGAACTATTTTTAATAGGGATATTGGTCAATGTCATATACTCTTTGACAGTGTTTACTAAATATGTCAAATGGAAAGGCAACATGTACATTCAACATTGGAATGTATATTTTGTGTGTTAAGAGCCAGGAGGGTGTTGACTATGTGTTAAAGTATCAACAGAAGATTTGTTTATGACTACCAGTATGTAGCAGAGGAAGTATTTAAAAAAATTAAAAAAATAAAATAAAACATCAAAAAGGGATTATTTCAGCCTTCAAATATAAACAATAATCTATGGTGTAGACATACTGTAACAAGATATCACTATTGACAGGAGATTTTATGCCTGCATGAGAATTAATTCATACCTTGCTCACAATCCACATAGCAACATATAAATCCCCCATTAGCTGTTAAAAATTATAGTACTGATTATAAAACGGGATCAACAACTGAATGCTCACAAATACATGTAGATCAATTCTTTTAAATTGTTGTGTTATCTCAGCTGTATGCTTTCCAGATTGTTTATTAATGTGATTTATTAATTAATACCTAGGTACTTTTTTCTCAAAAAATATCATACCAAACTTATAAAGTATAAGAACTGACCTATCCACCAATCTGAGTTGCTGCTGAGTGACGTACTTCTTTGGTGGAACACGTGATGATTCTCCTGTTCTCTTATTAAACCAGAATGATCCTACATTACCAGTGTACAGATGACACCATTCATGCTGTGATGGAGAAAACAGATTAGTTTATTTAATTACTCATTATTCCTAAGTTTCATTTGAGGTGTTCACACTTGTACAAGCATTGCTTTTTAGTGGACCCCTCTGTTTCCAACATGTATTTCTTAAATTTGTTTTAAATGCTTATTATTGATTTGTAATGTTTTGTTGGAAACATGAATAAATTTGAAATCTTGATAATATATGGTTGACAGGTTAATGTCGGGATATCTTAATATTACTTCTTCAAGTCTAGCCTCCTTATCCTTTCTTATCTTTCTTTAAACCATATATAATATAAAGAAATCATGGTTATATATCTGGGCTCGGGATATTAGATGAACAGAAACAAAATACAGTCAGCTCAGGTCACGTTGTAATACAATAATCATTTAAAATTAACATGTTGACAGTAAGAAAAAGTATAGGGCCTATACTAATGATATTATTAGCATACAAAAATATAATCATTAAGAACTTTATCAACAATTGAAACTGATCTAAAAAGTATTCTAATTCATACATTTCACTTAATGTGTGTCTTGCATACATGTACATGCTTAATTGCCAACACCTGTCATAGTACATAGGCCTACAATATAAATAGTAAGATTACATCCAGAACAAATAACAAATAGATAAGCCTTTTTTGCAATAATGAAAGCAAATAAACAAAATAAAGAAGTACCGTACAAAAGAGTATGGCATGCATTTACCTATTCAATAAGATGAACATGACTTGATCCATACACATACTGGTATATATTGTTAAGTTCTCAAGTTTCACAACAATACAACGTGTATATATCCCTTATAATGATAACAGGGTTATCGCAAACCCTCGTTCAATAATAAAAATCTACCCCCATATAGATTGACTGTGAGCCCTAGCAACCATACGCTCGCTCTACTAGTCTATAAAGACCAGCCTCAAAGTTGTTGCCAAAGAGCTTTCAACTTCACAAATACAATGCAGTGGAACTGTAAAGATTTTATATTAATTTGAAATAACTGAGGACTAATCATGAAATTGTTTTTAAGCCTTTTTCAAATGTTACATACATCTCTTTCTTACAATAACACAAAAGGGATTTGAAAGGGTCTGCCCAAGCAAGACTATTCTATATAAAGGTAAGTCCCTGAATAGATGAGCACTTAACCATAGCCCTATTATCTTCAATACAAAGAAAGCTACTGATTGTGATCCCTTCATCGGTTACAAAGGCTAGAGAACGCAGCAAACAGAATTAAAAGCTACTTTCAACAACTCTATTTACAAAGACACATTGGCCAGTTTGACAGTTGATTCTCTGAGTGTTTTTAAACTAAACATTCAGGTAATATCAAATTACCATGGTAACAAACATACCCTGGAGAATGCATTATATACCCTATAAACGGTAATCATTTCCTCAACATTTTTACACCTGAACTGTATTATACTTAGCTCTCCATTTTGTCACTTGTCTACTTTATCATGAACTATATCATCAGTATTTTATATCAGACTTTGCTTACAACATTGATTAATATCTTGGGGATCATTCTCATCAAGCCAATTTTGGTTTTCATGATTCCTCACTTCCTTTTATCTTATGTTGATAATGAACGAACATGTATTTTCTTTAGATGTTTTTTAAAAGAGAGTGAAATAAATAAATGAAATGAAATGAAATAATAGCACCCATCTCTATTCAAAGTTTGTGGAATATCAAGATCCTAACATGATTCATAATAGTCATTATATGTACTACGTTGTTCTTCAGGGGGGTGTTTCACAAAGATCCTAAGTTGAACTTATCTCTAAGTTGGACTTAAAAATTATGGAAAGCCGTTAGCATCTTTGAAAATATTTTTTTAAGAGGTATAAAATGTTGATTCAAATCAATCACAATTTTCTATTATCAAGGAGATTTCATGTTCTTGATCTGGAATTTATAAAAAGTCTAAAATACTTGAATTTCGCTTTGAACATATTTTATTTTAGGCTACAAATGGCTCTCCATAAAATTTAAGTCCAACTTAGAGTTAAGTTCGGATCTTTGTGAAACACCCCCTGGAGATATAGTTTAGGAGAATATCTTTTCAATAAGTCTTTTCCAATGTCTGTAGTAATCCACATATCCCACAAACTTACAAATCTGGTGGTTACACATAATCACACAGCCTATATGAATGAGCTCAAATTGGGCAGTGAAAGATACAACTACATGAACATATACTGTAAATTAAGTCTTATTAATGTCAGATATGGATCATAAAGACTAAAGCATCTAAAATACATGTCAAGCAACTTTTAAAGAGATTGTATATATCTCTCTGTTGTGAACAAACCAACTTTGTAGCCCAAGAATATATTTCAAGGATAAGTATATATAGTATCATAATAGTCATTGCATTTCAATTCCAAATGTAAAATTCTTAATTACATGTTCATAGCTATTTAATACTTAATAAAATACTTGCACATTTAATTTCTATCTTTCCTCAACCTTATAGCAATAGTTGCACTATATATATGGTTGAAAACAAGAATGACTGATGATAGAGATACTATATATCCATTATTTTATTTGTCACATAAAAACAAAATTATATAACATGCAAAATATTCCACAAGACTTACAGGATAAGGATCCCTTGCTCTGTACAGTGTAACAATGAGTCTCTTTGCCATGGGAACAAAGTAAACATACGGCATATTAATCTTCCTACCAGCCTCACTGAAAGATAAACAGAGGTATGGAGAGAAAATACATCGGTAAAATTACACTAGAATGCATACAAAATGTAGCATTTTAAAGGCTTGACCAGGGACCTGTTTCACAAAGCCTTTTTCAATGACAAATGACAAACATCAGAGACAAATCTGCTAATAACCAATCAGAAACAATGATTTTACTAGCTTATAACAAAAACTGTCATTTGTCACTGATGACAAGTTTTGTGAAAATAGGACCCTTGTCATAGTCCAGTGTCTAATGAACAATCTACAATTCACAAAAAGATGACCTGTCCTGTCTAAACCATAAATTTTACAATCAAATTAAGGAGATTATACCAATATTATGAAATCATATTTTGTGTAAATGGTTGTAATATATTTCTATTTTGTTTCAATAAAACTTTATTCAATAAATGAGATACTTACTTGACAAAGTGGTTGCTGATTTGATTCAAGTCCTCGTCAGTCAGTTGTAATCCAAAGTTGATTGAATTTATTATCTAGCAAAGGAAAATATAATATATCATATATTAATTGCAAAATAATAATGTTAACATTTTGCATAGATAGCTGAATAATAATCATATATAATAGACCATATTTGTATAGTGCATGTCACTTTTCAGTCCCTACATGTACTCAGCAAAAAAGCACATATGATTTTAAACAATTCAAATACAGATACCTATTTCCTGAGATAAATGGTTAAAAGTAGTAAGACTTTTAATATGAGCCATTCAAGTGTGTTCCACATCAATAACTAACCAAGCAGTTACAAAGAATACATGATTACATGATGTTATCAGAAGTAGGCCAGCATCTTCAATACCTCCTGCCAAATTGATCAAATTTCCTTCACTTCATATATTAATTCTTAATAATTAATATGACATATTCTCTTAAGTGCATGACGTTTCATATTAACTTGAGTTATATGTTTTTATATATGTAAAATAAATATTGTCTTGTGTATAAACATCGATTTTGAATTTGAATTAATGAACAGTTGTTTATCTTACCCTAACAAATCGTTGATGTTAATCTTTCCATCATTATTCATATCAGCAATCTCAAAGAGATCCATCAGAGATCTCTCAAAGAGATCTGGTTCTTGAAAATGCCATGCATCGTAGTCTAATGGCCGTGTAGTGCTACAGAGAGATTGGTATAATAAGTAACATAGATGTATTCATATCATATTTATCCTAATATGTTTCACTTCATTTAAACCTGCCTGTAAAAAAAAAGGTGGGAAGGGGCAAATAAAAAATGAAATGAACTATTCAACTTTTTCATGTAATTCTGAAAGCAGTTCATCATCTATCGATTTGCCAGAGAACATAATAAAATTATCCTTGAAATTTGTAGGAAAAATGATGTATTCAATGAAGGAAAAACAATCATATTGATATTCAATAAGAACAAAAATAAAATCTAAGCTCATAAAAATCATAAAGTAGAGGAGTAGTTTCTATACCATTATATATAACCATCTAGACAATCTTGCTTTTCAAAACCATTCTGGATATATTTGTTTTAAATAAGGAATGCAAGTTTAATACAAAGAATGACTGGATATTGTAATCTAGATACCGGTAGGCATTACTATTAGGAAAACAGATGTAATTTCTTACCTAGCCTCGCCTGTTTCTTTGTTAAAGTATATCACTCCATTCTTCAAGCCTTTGTCCAACACAACCCAGTGGTTCTAGAAGACATTAGAAAGAAGATCAATGAAATAATCTTTTCTAATCAATTAAATAATTTTTTCTAATCAATAAAATAATCTTTTCTAATCGTTGCTTTTATCTTAGATTAAGATAATAGGAACCAAGAGAGTTTTTGTTGTGTGTGTTAAATTTTGTTTGTGTCCCAAACATACAGATGTAAAGCAACTACTCTAGAGAGAGGCCAAAGTAATCAACACAAGATCATGTCAGTGTAACTTCTTTTTCTTAGTTATTGAGCTTCTTAACATAAACACTTCTGAACACGGATCAGCTAGATTATGAAAGTTCTGAAAAATATATTAAGTATGGATTTGAAGTGCTTGGAGGTTGCAATGAAAAAAGGAGGAAAACATCTCTTCAAATGCATGGATAATAAAAAGCTTATTTTTGACCAACAATTTTGTTGTGAGTGGATATCAACATAATTATTAAGAAGACAATACTGCATTCCCTCTCTATCCTTTTCAAGGTAATCTTTTCCCTCTTTTCTCTCTCTATCCCCCCCCCCCCCCTTCTCTCCATCTCTCTTTCTCATTCTCCCTCTTTTTCTTTATCTACAAAACATATCTTAAAGAGATTAAATTAGCATCTGATTACCTCTGAATTGACATCCTTCTTACTGTAGAAAAACTTGAGCAGATGAACACCAAACGGCAGGAACTCATCAAATGTCATCGGGGAATCCTGTAAAAAAGATGATCAACTTAATAAGCCTGCCATCAAGCTTGCGGCAAGCTTGCCGCTATTTACATGAAATAATAGCTTGCATCACGTTTGCCAATAAGCTAGCACATAAAAAGATATAAATTTGTAGATGCATGATATTAATGATGCTTTATATTGATGATGTTATTATTCATTTATTGTGTCCTGTAACAGCTTGTAAATTATGAAATAAATTCCATATTTTAAATGGTAATGTGGAAATAAATTAAATTTACTAGAATCTTACTTTAAGGTTATCTCGTCCATGGCAGATGTCTTTCATTAGCTTGGTGATGTCATCTTTGGAGACTTCAAGATCCAGTCGAGGAGAGTTCATGATCTGTTTACAGAAACAAAGTGTTCAACCATCAACTTCAAATACTGGACATATAAAAGAAATAACAGACCCTATTAATGCTATATAAGATATTAATTAAACAAAGGAGCCTTCAAGTCTACAAATCAAACTATCCTCAGAGGAAAGATTTTGTTATATTTTCTATGCAATAAAATATAGTTTACTGGGGAAAATCAGTTACTAATGATTGAAAAAGATTAACATTAGATTAAAAATATAATACAGCTTTACAACCTTGATAAGGTATTGCATCCACAGATAAATTAAACTCAACCGAAGATCCACTTTCATCTTACCATTCCAAACTCTTTCCTATTTATTTTGCTGTCATTATCTCTATCAGCAGTCCTGAAGATGGTCCATACAAGCTGTTTGTCAGGCTCACTGAATTGGGTACACTTGAAACGTTTTACCCGCTGCTTTTTCTTCTGCATGAGAAACAAAACGAAGTAAGAAAATGCTTGATACAATCTTTTTAATTAGACAGATTAAACCAATCCCCTTCAGTTTGGTCTTGATAGAAAATGTAAATATTTTTACAAGTTAAGTATGGGGAATTGAAAATTTAAACTTTCAATTTCTTTTTCATTTTAGGAGGAGCACTTGTTTTTCTACTTTGAATGAAGAAAAATATATGACTTCACTTATAAATAGTATTATGCTCATGGATATTGATTAATTTGTACAAAATATGATTCAAGATTGTCATAAATATATATATATATATATATATATATATATATACAGTCAAACCTGCTTTAGTGACCACCTGTCTACTAAGACCACCTGTCTACAAAGACCACCTGTCTACAAAGACCACATTTGTTGTTTCCCTTGAAAATGGTTTCTCATTGAAACATGCACTGAAGGAACCTGTCTACAAAGACCACTTTTTGTGTTTCCCTTGGGCAGTCGCTATAGAAAGGTTTGACTGTATAAATAAACATTAGCGATTTTCGCTGGGCATAGAAATTCAAGGATTACACTGTACATCATCTTCGGCTTGCGGCAAGTAGGGGGAGATCGGGGAGGTGGAGATTATTAAAAATAAAATCGGCCAGATTATGGATCAACTACTCTCATGTGCATACATGCAGTCACTCAATAAAACAGTAAATACCCAGCATCACCATTATGAATCCTTTATAGGTACAACTACATGCAGAGATTGAGTAACTATTCTAGTGAAAGCATTTATGTATAGTGAGAAAATAAACTTGAAATAAATTGCAAAAACACACAACTTAATTATTAATGCACTCAATATATTTCTACGCAGAAAACATGCAGAAATTGTTTTGAAACAATATACTCCTTTTATAAATTGTTACTATTTAATTGTCAAACTATATGTTTGATAATAAAGCAAGAAAGAATACATCATGCTAAAACTTATAGGTAATACAAATGAAGCAGAATGCTGTTTATTATATGATTAAGGGTGCAAATATTCTAATATCTAATATATGTACAAACCCTTTCCTTGGTCTGATCGTTATGAAATCAACAAATAAGAATTAAATTACATTAGTTGAATGGAATATGATGACATATGACATATGACTTAACAAAATTTGGGAACTCAAGTTGGATTGATAGCTCTATTATGACATAATCATAACTTTGATTATAGTATCATAAGTATTTATTCGTCTTTGAAATTATACCATACTTGCTATGATTTTGCAGCCATGGAGTGAACAGTACATCAGAATAAGGGGCAGGGTCAAAAGTGACAAGTTACAAAATGAAGTGATAATATTGTTGTTCAGATCACTCTTCTTTCTTCTCATTTGGGATTTGTGTTTAATAGTTTACTGCAGGAGTTGAGGCAAATGCTGTTTATAACAAATTTACAATTCCAATACATGGCTCTTCATAAAAGCAATATGTGTTTTATTAGCATGAGTGGAAATGCCATATATATGTGGAAATTAATCCAGGTAATACTCTTTTTAATTCAATACTGAGAATTTAGTCTTCTTGAAGTTAAATTTTTAGTATTGAACCTGCATGGATACTTAAAGTATATCGACTATGCAAGTATGATAAGTTAATGAAATAAATGTACCTCTCCAAATTCATCCAGGTCATCGGTCTCTAGCGCATCTTTAATAGGAGGAAGCTCTCCAAACGGGTCAATCAACCTCCTCTTACGACCTTTCCTAGGGGTTGATCCTTGATGGTGATCACCGGACTGGTCACCTGACATAGGTTGGTCACGTGACATAGGACGAACCACAGACTGACTTCTAAACTCATCATCTGATGTGACATATCCAGCATTTACAGGTCTACCGTCTGCATCAGTTTCAAAATCTGTTGTTAAAATACATTAGAAATGTCTTTATGTAATTAATAGACTTCATATACTGCAAGCTATTTTTAGATCATATACATGCAGGTATTGTGAAACTGCAATGACATAAGATCCTACATTATGACTGCCATGTTTATTATTTATGTATGTCTGTATATATGAAAAAACAACCGCATCAAAAATACTGCTCCTATACAATATCAAGGATGATTTATTGTTGATACATCTATTTTTAACTTTTTTTTTAAAACCGGTTGATGTAACCTTGCTTCTAAATTAACAAACTATTACCTTTTGGAGGCTCGTTTACATGTTACATGGATTTAATGGCCAAGCTGGCCGACGTGTTTTTTATTATTTTATGTTTTATTGTGACCAACAGCTACTTTGCGGAGCACATGGGTGAAGTGCTTTTGACTCCCTTGTAAAGGTGCTAAACAAAATAACATGCTGATGATTCTTTAATAAAAGGAAGAGTAGTTATATAATCATAACAGGTTGAATCAAAAGTATTATTTACCTTTATTTCTGCCATGTTCCCCTTCATCCTCTTCAAGAATCATATGTAGAAGATGGTCTCCTTGCCCTGCTCCCCCCTCACCTGGTCCTGCTCCTCCCTCCCCTTGTCCTTCCATCAACTGATCCATCATCCAATCAAACTGACTGCCATCACTCTCCCTGGATGATTCCATTCCATACTGGGGGTTATGATTCACACCTTGAGGGACCGGCTGATTATTAAAAGACATCTTGTTATGTGTATAAACCTGATCCTGAAATACTAATGTCTTTTCTTCCTTCAGTACATTGTAACATCTGCAAGTATCGTGTTGTAGCAATCCTCAGCAAACTCTACCTGAAATATTGGATAAACAAAGAAAACATACATTTCAAAATAATTATGTGTTTAAATAATTAAAAACTT